GAGTCGATATGGGTATATTGGCAGTCTAGCTAGCGTATGCACGACAGACGGTTTCTGTATAGGGAATACATATTTTTCACCTGACCCCATTTTCGCCATTTAACTTGGGAATTTTTTTCACTCCTTATCTGACCACCCACGGCGCAAGTTGTTCTATCTGAGGGAAATGATTGACGCGTCTTATCATCCTGATATAAAGCCTGTAATGGTGTTTATGATTTCCTTTCAACCCTACCTGCGCAATGGCCACTCAAGCAAACTCTGTGCCTCATCCTATACTTGTGGAGTACGTGATACAATCTACTTGAAGCTACACTATTCTTATACCACCTACAACTTAAGGTGGATCCTTTTGTGTAAGTATTTGAGCTCTCGCAGAGTCCATCCAGGGGCTCATATCTATCGTACTTATCAAGGCCAGCTGATCAACAGAAGGTGGGCTGCGCTTCGTTATTGACTTATTCTGCGTAACAATGCTTTCCAGGGCCTTCATAACCGCTTGGCAGTGCGTGATTTGTTACAAGCGTTCCTTTCTAAGACACTTAGAGGTTAACCACTAGTCCTGATATCCCTGCATATGTGACAGTTAAACCGGGAGATGTACGTCTAGTTAATGAATTTTCGAAGACTCCGAAACCTAATACATTGATGCAGGTGTTCAAGATCCAATGTGTTGGTGCGATGCTCAAGCCCTTTGATGGTCAGCCCAATACTTAATTTCAATATTCAGACTGGACCGGAGCTCAAATTGGCAACAATGATTGTGAGCTTTCAGGAAACGAGACAAGAGATGTACTCGCTAATCTCCTTATAGGCAGTGACGATATCAAGGACGTCGATTTAACCAAAGTGCATAATCTTTCTGGCCCAATCGCCGTCGAAGGAGCTGAACCTGGTGATTGCTTGGTGGTTGATATCTTGGATGGTTCGTAGCCTTGCACGATTGCCAATTCCAGAGCACCAATCATATCCTCAGTAACTCCTTTGAGAAGATGCCTTGGGGATATACTGTATGTTCGTTTCAGGCAATAATATCAATGGGTTATCGACAAAAACGATCACCTAGGGAATATTCGAGCTTGAAAACGGCGGAGGTCTTTTTGGTGAATTTCATCCACTGGTGATTCGAAATATTAAAGCTAATTTACCGTATTTTTTAGCCAAGGAATTCAACAGCAAGGCCGCAAAGGCCATCTGGGATTTTAAAGGTGCGAATGACTCTCTTATTTACGGAAACGGTTCGAATTCATACTTCAAAAGGGATATATGCTACCTCCAGGCACATCCCGGGAGTCCGTTTTCGCCGGGGTCTCCCACCCAGGTCTGATTGGAACTGCCCCTTCAGCGGAGCTCCTTGCAACCTGGAACGAGCGCGAAACGGGTCTTATTTCTCAACATGCTAACGCAGTACCACCTGTGGCCTTTGCTCCCGAACCCAAAGGAGCATATGTTGGCCAGAATCCTCGATCCAAAAGTATTTGAGAAAATTGCTACTGAAGGTGCGAGGACTATTCCTGGCAGGGAGCATGGCGGAAACTGCGATATCAAGAACCTTTCAAGGTACGGCTCACGATCAGAGAGCACGATCAGAGCACTTAGATACTGACATTGCATTGACAGAGGTTCTCGATGCTACTTTCCTAGTATTTGTGAAGGGTGCCAATCTATCAGTGGGTGATCTGCATTTTTCGCAAGGAGATGTGAGTGCAAATTTCTGCATGCTTATAGATCTGCACTCTGATGATTAATTTTAGGGAGAAGTACGTGTGCCAAGCAATCGTCTTCGTTCAGTGTTGATTTAATGATAATATATGTGCCAGATGTCATTCTGTGGTGCCATTGAGAATGGTAATGCGTCTGAACTTGTTATCATCGGATATTTACAGTATTTTCAGGCAGGAGTCGTCACCTTCAGCACTAGTATCATCAAAGGAGGCGTGGAAAAATTCGCCTTGAAACAACCGATTTTCTTGGTCAGTCTCAGGAAAACGATTAGTGTGAGTGAGATCTATCTACTGAAAGTTTCGTGTAGCCATCGCCCATAGATCCCTTGTACTCAGCCAAGGTAAGCATTTCATTGGTCATATAGCGCATATATGCTCAAGATAAGTTGCTTCAGCTCATCTTTGAAGGTATCAGCGTCGATTACCGTATGTTTCACTTTGTCAGAGCTTCCACGAACTGGTATTCATGACTGTATGCAGACGGTGACGGAAAGCAATATAATATGGACGCGTAAGTTATTGCTACTATTGCAAGCAGTAATCTTAACGCATACATGCGTAGTACGGTGGCCTACAAGCAGGCAGCATTAAATGCGATCAATTATTTGATGAAGGTACGTTGGGTCATCTTGAGTGTTACTTTTATCAGCTAAACGCCAGCCTAGATCGGTTATAGTGAGTATCCTGAACTTTCTTAGTTCTTCAATCTCGTCAATTGATTTCGTTCTTCAAGCTCGTGAACAAGCGTGTAGGTGGCCATCTTTTATTTCTAAGGATAATTTCGCTAAGAGTCCAACATAGACCTCCTCCTCTCTGCTGCCCCTGTTGAGAGTCACGTTGGAGCTATGGTCGTATGTCCTCGTTTTATTATTTTATTGGACTTTATTTGATTCCAATTGCCCCTTAGGATTCTCCTAATGCTTGTGTAACCTTGGCCTTACCTCTTGGAATATTTGAACATGTACGTACATTTTGTGAATTCGTTATTCTATGTTGTCGATCCGAATGTGCTCTTTGATAGGACATACTGCCAAAGGAAGAGGGGCTCAAGAAACTTGACTTTGGACAGTGTGCTATTCGAAGCGATGGCATCGTTTGAACATTGAGTGGTTTGAAGAAATCGAAGGTGTCTTAACTGTAACATTGAGGTAGTTAACCTAAATCAAAGCGTGTTTCGTCCTGAGAATACTAGTACATACTGTGAAAATAAATATTAAGCGGAGTGAGTTTCAAAGGTCTGAGCTCGGAAGGAGAGGAGTGGAGATACAGCAGGTTTAAGTTTTTTGTGGACGCTTAAATCCTATATATCTTGTAACCCCTCTTCCTACGTTTCTTGCTACCCTAAACCTAACTTAACTGTTCTTGACAAGTGAAGGAGAACATGATTCAATATTGCTCCACTCGCACTGGCAAGCTCTCAAGTTTACAACAATACACTTTACATAAAATACATACAGCTACTTAGCACAACAATATTGCGATATTGACAAAAAAAATACACATCTTATGACCATCAAGCAGCCTTACCTTTCCCCTTCATCATCTTGTTCAGGCTCAGATTCCCAAATTTCATCAATTTTAACAAATCATCAATTCCAGCTTCATACTCCGGCGCGTCATCAGGGTATATCGCGGCTTTCCAAGCTTTGTGCTTCTGTCTATAGGCGAGCATATTTTTACTGTCTTGTAGAGTGGCATACGTCTTGAATAGCTCCCACAAGATGTACCCGTACTCGTCTAGTTCCTCCAAGCCTTCCTTCGCGATCGTAATCAAGTCTCCCAAGAGAGGTTTGACATCAGGTTTCTCGGGAAAGTCCAAGTTCATCCATCCGCCTGCATCATCCATTTTTCGAGAGATTACTCTGATTCTGGCGCGGAGTGGGTCTGATACAGCTGGATTGGAGCAGGAAGGACAGACACACTGTGAAATGCCGTATGGAGCAAGTTCAGCTTGGCGTTGAGCGGCAGGAGCGAGGAGGTCACAGTATTCGGTTGTAATCTCTTCGCCTTCTTTGATAGCGCGGACAGCGAAGATCTGCATAGAGAAAGAAGCGGTGTCCCAGTGGCGGGCGACGTTTGGAGAACAACTGAAATGCATTTGCGTAAGTGAATATAGTCAGGATGAAAGTTGATTTTACCTATGGTTCATACGCGAAAGCTCATTGCATACGACACTGTAATAGCTCTCTGATGTATTTGCTATGGTCAAGAGTCAACACTCGCTGCTCGTTCTACCTGTATCGTAAGACTTGCCTTTGTCCCGTATTTCTTCCGCTTGAAACCCATTCGTCCTAATTATACCTTGAAGATACAAATGAACAATCGATGGGCGCCGCAAGGAAGCTCTAAACTCACCTAAAATAGGCCCGCTACCGTCTTGTAGATGACAATTCGCAAGACTCATCAACGGCTCGAGCCTCTCCGGAGCCATCCTGCCCGTGACCAGGTTCAAGTTCCTTTCCCGCTCAAACATCGTTACTTGACGATACTGTTCATCCGTATAATGACGGGGGACTCTGCCAGCGACTCGGACACCAAAAATCGCACGAGGAGCGATGATCAGTGGACGTTCAGCCAGAACCAGTTCTCCAGGCTTAATGTTACACGCAGCAAACATTCCAAGTCCTTTTCCCGGTGATTCTGCAATACGATGGCGAGCGATCGGAGGACGAGGAATAGCTGCAGGAAATCCGGGGGTGTTTACGATTTTCTTTTTGAGATAACCGCTAATCAAGCACTCGGTCCAACCATCTGGAAATTTCTCCAGTGTTGCGCCGAGTCCTAAGTTTGGAAGAGTAGTGACGATGGGCATACTGTCATCGTAGTCGAGTTTATTGCCGGAACTGAGCTGCACTTGAGTCTGCATTTGCTCGTAGTCCTGGGGGACTCCTGGATGCGCTATAAAGTGAGTTTGAGAGGGTAAAGACGCGTTATATGCGACTTGCCAGCATTCTTTACCACTCCGTAAGAAAGTTTTTGAGCCTCCCTACTAGTTAACCACTGCTGAGTATCTGATAGTGAGTCGGTAAGTATTACAAGTTTCGCATTAGCTAGAGAAAATTGCCGCTACTTTCAGCCTTCTTGGCCGACGACTGGCCTTCCGTACGTGTTTGTTTTGGTGCCATTCGTGCAGTAGTGAAAGCGTAGAACAGTGAAACAAGAAGATGAGCGAGAAGCGCGACAAAGAAAGTAAAAATGATAATCATAGTGATCGAATGATTACATGAGCTTAAGGTCCATAATGTCATAGTACTAAATGTTACATAACAAGTATACGGGGGTATAGCTCAGCTGGGAGAGCAGCAGACTGAAGTAACAACGCTCGCATTCGTTTCTCAGAATATCTTCTGAAGGTCCCGCGTTCGATCCGCGGTACCCCCAATGTATACGTTTTTGAGTTTCGGTTTCTTTTTTTTTTGCTGGTATGTAAACTAAGTACTTGGTGTAATAAATATCTACATTGAAGTTGTCCACATATCTATACATTTCATCATCATTCATGCGCCTCCCACAGGCGGTTATGATAGTAGTAGGTTCCTCTGTTCAGAAAGTACCGACATTATCTGAAACCTTGAACCCACACCCCGTCTTGGATTTCAACTCGTCAATCGTCGTCCCCTCCGCAATATCAATAAGGGTAAGCCCTCCGTTCTTCCTATCCACATCAAACACCGCAAGCTCCGTAATAATAGTGCTAACAGTCCGAGCACCAGTTAATGGAAGCGCACATTTCTCTAGGATCTTGGGCGAGCCGTTCTTGGCGCAGTGTTCCATGACTACGATGACTTTGGTTTTGTCGGGGTTGGAGACGAGGTCCATGGCTCCGCCAATACCTTTGACCATCTTTCCTGGGATCATGAAGTTGGCGATGTCGCCGGCTGAGGAGACTTCCATTGCCTAAACAAGAGGGAGGTTAGGTAGGTAATGAGATCAAGGAGAGGTAATGAGATCAAGGAGAGGTTCATACACCAAGGATAGCGACATCGATGTGTCCTCCACGTATCATGGCAAAGGATTCGCTAGAATCTGTACACGAGTCAGTTTGGAGGTAACAGCGGCGTGAAGAATAATAATAGCCCACCAAAGATCGAAGCACCAGGGAGAAGAGTAATAGTCTCCTTTCCAGCATTAATCAAATCACTGTACAGGTCTTTAGAAATGTAATCGTGACGGTTAATGTATTGACCTACGCATCGAGCTGCTCCTTGGTGGGATAAGGCCCCATTCCGAGAATACCATTCTCACTCTGTAGCCACACTTTGACGTCCTTGGGCAGATGTTCTGGGACTAGGGTAGGCATACCGATACCGAGGTTGACATAGAATCCATTCTGAAGTTCCTTTGAAGCGCGCTTGGCGATACGGTTACGAGTTGCTTGAGCAGCAGCCTTTTCTGGTGAGAGCGCAGAAGCAGGGGTCTCTTCTTGGCCAGCTTTGGAAAGCGTGATGACTTCGATTGTCTTGGGGAGTGTGGCTTTGACAATACGGTTGACGTAGACCGAGGGTAAATGAATGGCATTGGGGGACAGATCACCAACAGGAACGATTTCTTCGGCCTATGAGATTCGTTCAGTAGAAGCATTAAATTATTATTTGCACGCTGACCTCAACAATAGTCATTTTGGCGTTCTTAGCCATTGGTGTACTAAAGTTCTGAGATCCGTAACTGAACGACCGGGAATGAGAACGACTTGCGTTGAAGATAAATCGTAGAACTTACCGGAAGACGCAGTTTCCAATCTCATCGACTTTCCACGCATGGACAAACGCAACATCTCCAGCAATCGAGGGTTCCAAGACGTATTTTTTACCGTTGATCACTTTCGTTTCCTTTGGGAGGCCAGGGATAGCAACGCCAGCACTCATACCACCAGGATTGTATCGGATGGGTATGGAGCCTTCCTCGACAGCGGTGGAAGCACCAGTAGGGGTGAAGAAGGCAGGAATACCGGCAGCATGAGCACGAATTCGTTCTGCAAGAGTACCTTGGGGAACTAGCTCGAGAGAGATCTTTCCTTCAAGGTAAAGGGCTTCGAATTTTTTGTTTCTGTGGATTGCATTAGATGATTTCGCAAGATGAGGACTACAGACGTACCCTCCGGGGTATGATGCGATGACCTTTTCCAGTTGTTCAGTGTTGAGAAGCGCGCCTGTATGCGATTCAGCCGAGATATCCGACGGAAACCATCCGTCACTCACCTAAACCATGGTCTCCAGCACCAGCGTTATTTGATACACCCACAAGCTTGTTAACCTCATTCTTCCTCCTTGCAAGTGCTTGCAGCAATGTATCTATGACACGTTAATCACGAGAATCCAACTTTCTTGAGAAATATTTACCAGGAATACCAGCCAATCCGAACCCTAGATTATCCAATATGAGAAATCTTTGGAAACGTGGAAACAAAGCCACAAACCTCCGCAAAGTAGAATGTCGCCCGACTTTACATCCTTGACCGCTTCATCGGCTGAATCCCATATCTTCGTTGTTTGAGGAGGAGTGCCAACAGTAGATGTGAAGCGCACGCGAGAAACAGTGCAAATACGGAACGAAATGCGCGCAGAACCAGCTACCCTAGGCAACATCGTGGTGAGAGTTGAGAATAAACCTCAGATGAACAAGATCCATCCTTCTCCGCATCCCGCCTTCAAATACCGCGGAGTACCGCCGGCCGGAACGAGGTTTGTCCGGGGTCCTCCTTTCATTAATCCGATTTAATCCGATCAGGTATTACGGGTCGGAAAAACTCTGTAAATCTCGCTTTGACCGGGAATCATTCATGCAAGTACTCTAATAATATACAGAAAAACAGCGATAGCGAACAAGTATATGCAATGTCTCTTTATCCTAAGAGCATATTATGATCTTCATTCCCTGTCCTCGAAGAAGACTCTCCCACACTGTCATTCCGCGTGGGGAGTAACCTATGAAGTCTCGAGGTCTGCTGTTCCGGTTGACCACGAAGAGCATGGCTGCGCTGAGTAGAATTGGGTACATAGGGAGGAATCGTCAAGTCGGATCTTCCCGCTGTCGAAGAACCAATGGACATTACCCCAGTAACAGTCTCTGACCTCCTTCGTCCAACATCAGCACCTTCCACCTCTTGAGGCCCATCGGCACTACCGTAAGATGCAAGCTCTGGTCGACGAGGCTGCGAAGGTACAACTTGAGCTTGTCCACGTTGAATATTGAACAGCGCGAGACCCCTGTCGACAACCCCTCTATCGACAACTTCAGCTGCTCTCGACGTGGACGCATCGTTTTGCCTGACGGCGCCACCAAGAAATGCATCAAGTCCTCGAGAACGATGGGTTCCACTCGCGCCATGTCGATCTCTCCCACTATGCCTCTCCCGATCCCTTCTCTCCCTTCTATCCAAGAGTCCATGTCCCTCGCCAGCAATCGGTATGTGCGGCGATTGAGATGATTCACCAGCCGCAGGAGCAGCGGTAGCTTCATCGTCTGCATCTTTGGCACTACACCAGAACCGATGGCCTTCATTCCATGCTGTACTTTGACACTCTTTACCGCAGTACTTGGCCTTGCGACACCGACGGCATTTAGCAAATTCTCGAGGATATTCTTCCCATCGACCGCAAAGCACTAGAAAAAACGCAGATACGAATAAGCATCGTCCATTTAGACTCGGAGAAATAACCTACTGTTGGCGCACTGTCTTATACCTCCACGGCTATCATCTTTCCTGCACGCGTTGCGCATAATGACTCCCGCCCAGTACTGGATTTCTGGAGGAAGACGAGGAGGCGGGTTCATCGAAGTGCCGTTGATGTTATATTCTGCAAGCTCAGAAGAGCTCGGTCGGTATGTGAAGCGTTCTACTAGAGAGAACACGTTGGTCTGTCGAGGTGCCGGTATAGTCGAAGGACTGACAGTTGTGGAAGAGGAAGAAGGGGAAGTGAATTTTTCATTCGCTCTTTCCTTATCCTTTCCTCTGATCGTAGCACTGGCGAATGCACGGAAAAACCCTGAAGATTCTTTCATCTTGTTAGGCTCCTTCTCCTTGCCGGTTCTACTGGGTCCCGGCGTGGAAGGCAGAGTCGTGGAGGTAGATACAGCAGATCCACCAACCGGGGTAGCGCTAGCAGGGTGGAAGCTGTCTCGCTTTTTGTAGAATGCTTGACGAACATGCGGGTATTTGCTAAGATAGGCAAGAAGTTGCAGACTCAGCAGTACATCCTCATCTCGGTAGGGAGAAGGAGGAAGAGAGTGTGTCGTTGTAGATGTAGAAGCGGTAGCGGCAGTTGAAGCAAGAGATATATTAGATGCTGTCGATCGCACCGTACCAGGTGTCGTGAGCATGTTAGGAGTCCTCCGCGCAGCTTCAACGGTGAGGGTATTCTGGCGGTCATCGTGGTGTGCGGTACGACCATCATCTCCATCTCTGTCCCTTCTTCTTGGATTTTCCAACTGGAGAGTCCCTCTTTGGACAGCTTCCCGACTACGATCCCAGTTTCGCTCCTCGTCGAGTGTATGGTTTGCAGCATGTGGTTCGCTGGTTGCAGGTGCATTCCATGAAGCCGTAAGATCGACTAGAGAGATCCCTCTCACGGTACTAGCTCGAGAAGAAGTCGAAGAGGAAGCCATACTCGAAGATGATGGAAGCGATGAAGAAGATGGCTCTGAGGGAGAAACCTTTGAAGAAGAAGGTATATCCACTCCCGCAGTTGAAGAAGCAGTTGAGGGAGAAGGCGGAAGCCCAATGACTCCGGCCCGAGGTGTTGCATCTGGAGTTCCAGGTACACGACGTCTTCTGACCGTTCCAGATCGTTCCATGTCATGACCACCCTGGCTATCTGGAATCACGTCTCTGGTACGAGAAGCAGGACGAGATCCGTCCTCAGTCTCACTCATACTGAGGTCAGCATCAAGGCCCAAGGTGACGTCGCCCATATTGGCTGCGGGTATAGCGCCAGGAGCACCTGGAGGAGCACCCATGGCGAAATCGTCGTTATTCTCGATATCGAGCGATATCCCATCTTCGCCAGCCATACCAGCTCCGAGACCACCAATGTTCATACCGACATCACCCAGACCATCGGGGCCACCGATAGAGTCGTTGATGATAATATGGGCATCACTATGACCAATACCACCCATACCCCCCATCGCCATATTCATAGGTGGGACTTGATCACCTCCTAAGCCAAGGCCGACAAGCGTGTGCCGGTTCATGGACGGACGGTGTGTACGTTGATGCCGTGAAGTTCGAGCGAGGGGAGCATCCATGTCGCTGGCACTAGCACTAGTGCTGGCACTGTCCGGAACTGGATTGTCCATATCGACATCGCCGTCATCTTCGGTTTCAGAAGTTGGACGAGAAGACGGCCGAGATTGCTCATTGGAAGAAATTGAGGGAGTAG